GTGACATTGGGCAACTCACTTAAGCACTTTGGTCCTTCGTACAGGAAAGTGGTTTCTAGCTCAGAAGTTCACACAAACGAAGGTCTGGACGAAGGAACTTGGAATGAGAGAGACAAAGAGGAAGCCGAGTTGCTGCTGAAACAACTCATCAGAAGCTGAAATGTAAGCGAGAAGGAGCGCTAGACGACGGAGGTCACTTTCCTGCGCTGAGAGTTTAGCAGAATCCTGGGTCATTAACCAGGATGGTGGGGCAGATGGTAATGAGCTTTGTTTCGGGTGCAGAGGCTTTGAGGTGTTACCCACACGATGTTTCTTTCGTCACTGGTTACTAAATTACTGGAAAAGAAATATTTACGTGGATCGCTGGCGCTTAGAAAATGGTGTCCTGAAGTGTGGTGCTTTAATATGATGAGGAATTTGAGCTAAAAAACAAAGTTATCCCAGAGCTGAAGTCTCTCTGACCTCCTCTGGCCCCTCTTTCCCTCGCTCCTTTTTGTCCCCAAAATTCAGTGAAAAACTTTCACTGAAGCCCCCTGATCTGACTAGGGGAGTTCCCTCCAGAGGAAATATAACTGTCTTTAGCCCCTTCTCTGTAATCTCGCTGATAGGTTCCTGCCCCACCCTGAACACAATTTCCTCTTACTATTCCGGCTTGTGAAGAAACCCCCAATCAGCTCCTGATACGTCACTAAGCCCGCCCCTTAAGCCCCGCCCCCAGCTAGAGTCTTTATAAACCCCAGCTCCCTTGTCTAGCCCCAGTGTCGTCTGGTATGGCATGCTGCCTCCTTCTCTCAGTCCGGACTAAAGCCCTTCTTTCCTTTGGTTCTTTTCTGCGCCGGAAACCTAACACTCACCAGGCAGGGAGGACGGCTCAGTTGGTGCCGCACCCAGAGCCCACACTGTCTGAGGCTGTGTCCACTCTTTCCCTTATCCCTTTTCTCGCCTAGAGGAAGAAAGGCACACAAGCTTTCGGTCCCATTAGGTTACACAATGGGGCACTCGTTTTTCACTCTTGTGACACTCTCATGCACGTCATAAATTTGTATGCCTTGTTTTTCATTTTTGTTTTATTTGTTTTGTATTGTTTCTTTGGCAGTAGTGGGGATTAAACCCAGGGCCTTTGCACTGACTTCATCCCAGTCCTTTCTATTATTTTGAGACAGGGTCCTACTAAATCACTAAATTGTCCAAGCTGGGCTCCAACTCACCATCCTCCTGCCTCAGCCTCCCAAAGTGCTGGGATTACAGATGTGAGCCACTATGCCCACCTTCTTGTTTCTGGTTACTTGGGCTATTGTCAGTTCATTTCTGTGACTCAAATATCAAACCCCAATAGGGGAAAAATAAGAGGGTTTTTGTGTCCCTACAATGTATACACTGAACATAGATCTGACGGTAACAGGGTGGAGCCACACAATTTATTGAGTAACCTTTGTGATCTCTTCCTCTCTCTGGCTCCCTGAGAAGTTTCTATAGCAACATGACTCCTGGCCTCCTCAGATTGCCTCAGGTGGATCAGCCAGTTTTCCCTGTTACCCAACAAGGGACAAAGCACTGTCAATATTTTCTGAGTGGCAACAGCTTCAGGGTATTTTCCCTACTCTGGTTTATTGTCTCTTCCCTTTCTCTTTGTTCGCCTTCCTAAGAGACCTGTCCTCTTAGGTCTGTCCTAAGAGACCTCCCTTTCCCATCCTGATCACCCTTCCCTTGCTCTCTTCCCCTAGGTGCTTGCTTCCTCCCGGCCAGCCCTCTCCCAGCCAGCCCTTCCATTCATCCTCTCCCACGGCCTGCACAGAAGTCTTCGCATCCTCCCTCGGCTCCATGAAAGTCTCCAGCTTCCTTAATTCCCGACCAAGGACAATTCTATCTGTCCATCTTTTCACTCCCGCCCTTATCTCTCATCCTTATCATCCTCGTTAATAACTAATTTGCCCCAGGCCTTGAATTGATTGATCTTCCTGAATCCAGCTCACTGAATCATTACAATCATCCTGTGCATCGGGCTCTCCCAGTTCCGTCACTCAAGGGACTGTGGTTTGCAATGATTGCATTACTTGCCTGAACCCCACAATAAACCTGCCTGAACCTATGAGGAAAGCAAGGACAGAACTCTGGGTCACTTGATATCAAAGTTCTGACCACCACAGGCACTGCTGCCTTTTCTGGCTCAACGAGTTTCACCTTCCCTACCTTTGACCAATTTCAATCGCTTTGCCGAAGTGATTTCATTAAGATAACGAATGTGGCAATCGCTTGCACAGCTATTCTTTATTATCTAAAAGCCCCTCTTGTTTCATTTTCTCCCCTTCATCCCCCAACCAACCAGACCCACACATCATACTCCCCCAACAGGTGTGCACAAGGCATTCGCCTTCTTGCTATCATTTCTTTCCTGTTCATCTCAACCTGATATGGCTAAGAAGGAAGGCGATTTCACATATTAAGAAAGGGAACTATTACAGAAGAATATGAGGCACAGGCAATTTTATGTATATATATATATATATATATATATATATATATATATATATCAAAAAACCAAACCTGTATAAGAGGTACATACTTGGCACAGTTCAATAAAAGTACACTATTGCGCAAGATGACCAAATGTCCCTAAGAAAAATAAAAACTGAACTACAGGAACCCATGAAAGGGGTTTAGACTTTAAGCAGTTATGGCTGGGGAGAGGACGGGAATTGCAGCCAGGACAGAAATCAGCATCTTTATCCCTGACAACTATTTACTAAGCAATTCCATGTATTAAACCTTAAGTTAAAGCCTGGCCTGGTGATGTATACCTGTAATCCCAGCATTTGGGAGGCTGAGGCAAGAGAGTCAACAGGAGTTCAAGACCAACCCGGGTTACATAGTGGGTTCAAAGCCTGAACTACAGAGCAAGACCGTGTCTCAAAATAAAATAAAAAACATGAAGTTAAAATTATTAGAATAAAGAGATATACCAATTTTTGTCTTTTCTCCAAAAATCTTGTCTATGATAAAGGCTTAAGAGATGTGGAAATACACAGCAATATAGAGGGGCACTTAATACACTGACCAAGAGTTTCAGGAATTACAAAAATGCAGAGAATTTACCTCAAGAAGAACGACAGCCAGGTGTGGCGTGGAAGATCGCTGTGAGTTCGAGGCCAGCCTGAACTGTGTGGAAAGACCTTGTCTTTAAAAGATGGAGCAGGAGAAGAGGAACTACAAGCCCCAGGAGACCTCCGTCTGCATAGACTGCAGGCCTTCTGAGTCAGCTGCTGAACACAAAGGACGCAAAGTCTCGGGATCGGCAAGAGGAAGCGTGGTGTGCAGAGGTGGCTGGGAAGGAAGGGCTTCCGGTCTGAGGGGGAGAGAGGTGACGGAGGGAAGAGGACACAACGGACAGGCTTTCTAGTGCGCAGGAAGTGTCCCCAGACAGGACTTCAAGGGTCCCCCAAAGGGAATTAGGCTCAACTCAGCTCACTGACACCAGTCACAGAAAGGAACTTCAGGGTACATCAGCGAGGGGCACAGGAAGGTTTCCGTAAGCAGAATTAGACACCCAGGAAGAGCAGAGTAGAGCCCTCAGGGGGAGAGGTGCATGATGGTCGGGCATTCACGGGTGTTTATTCTTGGCAGGGGCTGTAAGACGCGGTCTAGCATGTTTTGCCTAAGAACACTCTTTGAACCTGCTGAATCTGTTTCTTCATCTTAAGGTCAGGTTAGTGCCCTTTGCTCTAGCAACTAAGTTAACCTGTGACTTAGAGTATCTTTAAAGGTGATGAGTCTGAAAGGAAAAAAACAAAAAGCCACAAGCCCTGGAGTAAAGCTATGGAGAAGAGGTAGGGGTCCGGAGGCTGAGGTGTCCAAAAGTACAGCATCAGCACGTAGTGGTGCCGTGTGGGGCTTTACCCGGTGACACACAGCGAGCATACAGAGGAGTGTTTGCTTTCGGAACAAAGCCCCTTCCAGGTAACCTGTTTGTCCATTAATCTGTGAATAAAGCTCCCGCTTCTCAACACTGTGCACTGGGGACTCAGTTTGCAACACATGAAACTGGGGGCACATTCGAACCCCAGAAGTTCTGCTCTCTGTTCCTGTAGTTCAGAGAACAGCTGTGCACAAGATGCGCAGCACAGCGCAAAGTGGGGCTGCTGAAAACGTCTCAGCACTAAAGAGGAAAGAGCTGGGTGTGGTGGCACATGCCTGCAATTCCCAAACACAGGAGGCTGGGGCAGGAGGATCTCTCTGAGTTCGAGGCCAGCCTGGCCTACATAAGCAAGTTCAAGGCCAGTCTGCACTATACAATGAGACACTGCCTCAAAAAAAAAAATTAAAAATAAAAAAATAAAGAGCTAAGGATATTTATGGGTAAATGAGCATTCCAAAGGGCTGATGTGGTGTGGCCTGTGCCTATAGTCCTGGCACTAGGGAGGCTGAACCAGGAGGATCACTTCAGCCCAGGAGCTGGAGACCAGCCTGGATAGCACAGTGAGACCTCATCTTGGAAAACCTTGTAAAGAAAAAAGAATCAAAGGGCTACAGATTTAAGGTCCAATTTCAATTTCCAAAGCCAGAGTGTCTCTCCTTTTCTAACTCCTAGTTTTCTGTTTGTTTTGTTTTTGTTTTTGAGACAGGGTCTCACTATCTCTACCTACTACTTACTGGTAATACTGAATGGGTGTATGGAATGCTGTCACTTCAGGTCTTTGTCTTTTCCTGTCTACTCCTCTCATCCCCTCATCAATCTTTTTTTTTTCTTGGACAAACATCTTTATTTAAGAAATCAAATAAACGAAAGAGTAAAATCTGATGGCATAAGGACATAGGACCAAGCTTAGAATTACTTGCTCAAAAATCATTCAGAACAGAACAAAATTCTTCAGGCACTCATAGTAAGCACAGAAAATATCCACAGATATTCATTAATTTACACTGAAATCACACACTTAGTATTGTACAGAAGGGACAACTACTGGCCTCCTTTAGTGTACACCCCAAAAAGCCAAAAGTCAGTGTAACCCAAACTTTTCTTTAATAACAGTTCTTAAACTGTATTACAGCTTTTTACAAGTACTGATAGAAATCGGCCTATTCAAGTCCCAGCTTACTTTCTGAAAGGAAATACAAGAACATACAGTGACAGAGGCAACACATTTCACCATGTAACTGTGGTCCAGCATATACTTATGGGTCCAACATTCTAAAATTATAGCAGTGATGACCACTATTCCCAGTCTCTGACAGAGGCAGGTACATAACATTTAGCACTGTAAAGATGTTTTGCTTCAGCTTCTTAGGTAGTGCTGTGTGTTAGAAATGTTTACAGTACATCTCCAAATGCACAAGAAAGTCATTGCATGGGCTATCAATTTCATTTCCTTCCGCGCCATCTTTTAATTTAAATCTGTCTGCCAAATCTTGACGACGACATTCGTGTTATGAATTCCCACATCAAGGTCAAACTTTCTGGATAAGGAAAGTCAAAAGCTTCTCAATTTTTAAAATACAAATATTTCAAAATTATTGATAAAGAACTTTATAAATAATACTTCACAAGCAAAGACTGTTGATAACCAAGATGAAACAGAATGTACTATTTTTAAATTATAAAAGAAGTTCCACTAGGTTTAGATAAACTGAGACAAGTAAAAGATTTTCCAGGCTAGTTAATCAAGTTACTTACAAGGTACACGTTGCTGAGTATACACCATTGTGACACTGTTTATTTTGAAATTTTTCTGCCTTCAGCTTAAAAGGTGTTTCTTCCCAAGAAACTCAACTTTTCCCTCAAAAGCGCTTGATCGAATGGGAGAGTTGGGCTCATAAAATGGATTCATTGCAAACTTTATATACAAATCGTAAACATCAGTAAGGAAGTTCTTTATTCCGTCTTCTTGCCTTACGTCGTGAAGCATGATAAATCTCATATGGCCGGCGGTGACAAACGCTGACACAAACCACTCGTTGAATTTGTCCACAGTTTTCAGGTACATATTGTTCGAGAGCCACGTGTTTTCATCCACAAGGTCCAGCGCAGCGTGAGCAATGAACTGGTTCAGATGACGACGGTCATCTTTGGGGTCTGCTTTCCCAGCGGGCAAAAATTCCATTTCAAAAACTGGATTATCATGGCGGCCAACGATTACAAAGTAGAAGCTTCCGGACATCGTCTTTCATATACGGCTTCCGTCGTGAGACGCAGACAAAGGAAATGCCCAGGCAGTTCTAGGGGCTGAGACCTGCGCTTCACAGCTTCATCCGGGACTCCAGGAGCAGTGCTCGCGAGATTCCCTCCGCGAATGAACTATCGCGAGACGTGGGCTCTAGCGTCACTCTTGCTGTTCCGTTAGGTCCTTGTGTTTTCCTTTCCTTTTTCCTTTTTCTTTTCTTTCTTTTCCTACACAGTTTGACCACTTAGTCGTGCAGCTCCGAATACCATCACCGTCCACGGAAGGCCTGCTTTCAGGGCACAGACAGGGTAAATTACGTGCCCAAACTTGTACAACCAGCAATGAACAGAAAGATGGAAATCGTTTAAACGTTTCAAGTGAGAATTTGAACATACTCTTCTCTATTTAGTAAAGGTGAAAGATTTATACGATCTAAGAGAAACCAGAGTATTAGTCTTCTCTATTTCGGTGTTTGACTTGAAATGATTTCCCAGGGACCTCAAGATAAAAACAAGACTTTGCTATGAGTTACAGTGACTGGCGCTGTGATTCATTTTTTTCTTTTACCTCGCAACCAAACCCAGAGAGTTGGTGCCCAGAGCCCAAAGGTGCTGGCCGCTGTGGTAGAGTTTCCAGGTTTTGAAACAATTTTTTAGATTTCTTTATATATAATGAGTTACAAATCTTACTCTGTGAATTTCTAATCTGAGTTAATAGTTCTTCCTCACCAAGATGACCAACAAACAGAAAAAGAGCTGGAAGGATGCTATAATAACTCCCAATAAATTCGTTCCCCCCCCCCCTCATACTAGGAATTGATCTCAAGGACTTGTGCATGGTAGGCAAGTGCTCTATCCCTGAGCTACACCCCCAGGCCCCAGTAAATTCCTACTTGGAATTGGCACCTGCTGCAGAAGAATAACAAGAGAAAACAAATGAGTTGATTGATTAACACATATATTTCATAGACACATACAAGACACCCAGAGAATCAGTTCTGAGTTGGTTTCCAACTGCGGCTCACATACTGTCTTCTACAAAGCATGGTAAATTTTTATCGAAATGGTAGGACAAAGGAAAAGGACTTTGACTGCGGGCAGCAGCTTGGAGAAGAGCAAACAAAGGGCAGATAAAGGCGGTTAGTTAGCAAAGCCTGCCAATATAAATTCCTCAAGTATCATCTACAGGCAATGAGGGTTTAAAGTTGTCTTCGGTGGTTAACCTTTGCTCTCTGGTACGTGGTGTGTGTGTGTGTGTGTGTGTGTGTGTGTGTGTGTGTGTGTGTGTGAAGGCAGCATTCCTTTTGTCTCTATAAATCCATGTCCTGCTTTTATACAGCTAGAGGGAGACCAGGCACCTCTCCTGTATTCTTTCTTCTTGTCTCTGGCTCAACAATCCTTTGCTTTGAGGGAGAAGCATATTCTGGTTTCTCACAGAGCCTTTCAAAGTGTCACTCAGAGTGGGATGTGGTGGTGCACACCTGTAGTGCCAGCACTTGGGAGGCTGAGGGAGGATGATTATTGTGGGTTCAAGGGTAGCCTAGGCTACACAGTGAGCTCAAGGCCAGCCTCAAACACATATCGAGACCCTGTCCAAAGTAAACAAAGACAAAAACAAAAAAATGAAGTGTCATTGTGGTATGACCTGGGTTTGTTGTCTCTCAGCTTCACTCTGGTTCTTCCGAGGGTCCCACCCCCTCAGAGGCTCCACTGCTCCATGGCTGCTGCCCTGAACAGAGGCCTTAGAGGTCCATTTGCGGGCCTTTCTTGATCTTTCCTGGGGCTGCACCTGGCTGTATCACAAAGGGGCTGTGTGATCTTCGTGTGGTCAACTTTCCTGGGGCTGCACCTGGCTGTATCACAAAGGGGCTGTGTGATCTTCGTGTGGTCAACTTTCTCAGTCTCGGTCTCCTCGCCTATGTAAAATCCTGAAGTCAGACTCTCATCTCCAAAGTTTGGCCCAGAAAAAATTTTGGAGTCCTGTGAAGGTCTTTACCCAGTAACAGATGAGAATTAATAAGTTCGTTAACTAGGACTCCATCTGTGCTACTGATAAATATGATTAGTCACACTTTATGGCATTTATTATTACATCTTGTCAACTATAAATGGTGCACAGGTTAAGATTCTTAGTGCCTTTAAATATCATCCAAAGGTACTTTCCAGCTGAAAAGTTCCATAATCCGGAATGTGTATCAGTTTCATATCAGGCAGGATCAGAGGCTTAGTCAATATTATTTTTTCCACAGTGAAACCATGTAAAGCAGATTTTACTTAAGCTAACAAATGTGTATCCTTCACAGTGGAAGAATAAATAAAAGTATAATTTGTGAATTTCCTAATGATTTCTTGCTGCTAAAAACATTAACCTCTTCTATTCTTTAGAAGAACTTAACACAAACTCAATTTTAGCTTAAAATGTTTAGGAATTTTTGATTTCTTGAAGTGGGTTTTTTTTGCAAATTTATTTCCCAATCTCCAAACTCTCTATCTTCTTTCTCAAAATATTCTCAATGTTATGTTTTCATGTATAAATGAATTTGAGACAGTTTGCTCCTATTCTACTGTTCTCTGATTCCACTGATATTTGCATATCTCCTAAATCACTATTATCTACAAAGAAATCAATGTCAAATATTTTATTGTTTGAAAGAAGTGACACCAGTCAAGGATTTGCTCTCTGTTTACTTGGCTATAAGGAGCTACCCCAAATTGAGACCTTACAGATTTTTTATTTATTCATTTGTAATAAAAATTAAATTGAAATTAAATTGTGGTAACTGGAGCATACTGTATTCAAGTAGCCTTTGACAAATCATTTTTAAATATCAGCAGCTATAATGGGCATGGTGATACCCACTTAAAATTTTAGGTAACCGTGAGGCTGAAGCAGGAGTATTGCAAGTTCAAAGCCCTCCTGGGCAATTTAGTGAGTCCCTGGCTCAGAATAAAAATAAAAAGGACTGAGGTTTCCTCTCAGTGGTAGAGTGCCCTGGGTTCCATCCCCAGTACTGCATGATAAAGAATGAATGACTGGATGAACAAATGAAGGAATAGATGAATGAATGAACATCAGCAATAAAAACTCTGATCTGAGTAAAGTTGGAATATGCAAGTGATCTAATGGGGAATGAATTTTCAAAAACAGCTAGGGCTCCACACCGCACATTTCGGTCTCCAGGCTAAGCAAGGAACCGCTAAGGAGATACCTCTCCCGCTTTCCCTATTAACGCAAATTTATGTAAAAATACCTGCTGTGGGCGAAACACAGTCTCTGCAAATGGTCTCATTCTGCAACTATAGGTGTCAGGGAAATTGTTCTCCCTCTACAGCTCATTGAAATGCAGATGGCACAGAACCAGGGAAAGGATCTGCTTCCCAATGGGGCAAGATTAGATGCATCTGAATTGGGGCAGGGATTGAAATGAGGGGGAAATCTAATCAGTGCCTATTTTTACATCCTTGGAAAGCCCTGGAGCAGATTAAAACTACACACATCTCAACATTTCCCAAGTAGGGTAAGAATTCACGAGGAGATAATTTTCACACTTCAATGGAGTGGCTGTCTTACCAATACTATGTAATGTAAGTAAAAGCAATTTTTACAGTCAGAAACATGCTCCCATATTTTTCATCAGTTTAGTTTCTTTGATACAAAACATAAGAAATCACCCACCCACTATTGCATATTTTGCAGCTTTCACTAATATATAGGATTCATCTGATAACAAGAGCAAAAAATATTAAAGCTAATACACAGAGAGTCAGCAAATGAAGACAAGTATGACAGAAATGTTTATAGTTCATTACCCACAGAAAAGTACATACTCCCAAGATATATGATACCCGGAGCTCTACTATAGTCCAGTTCCTGTAATTTCAGTTCTTTTCAGATCTGGTGTTGATAAAATCACCTAGTAAAGAAGTGGTAGAAGAAACTCAAATTTCACAAAGTAAAGTTTATGAAACACAAACTACTACCACCAACTAAAGTTTCTGAGTTCATATTTTATGTAGAAATTCCAAATGTTTTTGTCTATTTAGTCCCCCATATTTTACAATGATAACATTCTTAGATTAGTGGTTCCCAGACTTAAATTTTTCAGGACAGTAAATCTTCCCAAAACAGTTGTGAAAGCCAGCATAAAGTTGCCAAACTGTTAATTTGCCAACAGCAACAATAACGAAAAGCTACCATTTCCATCATTTCAAAAAAAAAAAGGTTTTTTCAGCACCAAAAAAGCAGGAAGTTCCTAATTTCAGAACAAAAGAGAACTCTTCCCAAGAAATACTGTTTGCTAACCATAGATAATTTTAAAGGATATACTTACAGTATGAGATAAATGCAGAAATATTCACAACATTAATATTTATTTCATAACATGATGTATATTACATTTCCTTGGTAAAAATTTACTTTTAATTTAATTTTAAAGCACTGTGTATATTTAACACATCCATGTTTTATTTATTCAATCATTTATTTAAATCAGTACATTGTCAATAATTTTTATTTTAGTTGTTTTTATATGGTATTTTTTAGTTGCTTTTGTATATTTGTATGGTGACGGTCTCGACTTGCATTAGTGATTTATGTCATTGACCATATTTTCCAGTGCTTGTTTGTTTCACTGGTTGGTGAAAATCTGCATGTCTCACCAACTTTCAAATTGTTGTTTTTTTTTAATGTTGTACCCAAGAATGCTTCATATGCTCTTGAACCTAGTCCTTTGTCAGGCCATCAGATATGTAATTCACAAACATAACTCCACACAGGACCTATTATACAATGAAACTTTTAAAATTTGATGAAGTCGTGAATTTATCCATTTTTTAAAAAAAACAGATTGTGTATCCATGTGATGTCATATCTAAGAACTTTTCGCCAAGCTCACAGTCCAGGGACTTTCTTCTATGTTATCTTCTTTTTTTGGTACTGGGAATTGAACTCAGGACCTTGTGCTTGCCAGGCAGGCACTGTGCCACTGAGCTATATCCCCAGCTCTGTTATCTTCTGTAGGTTTTATTTACATACATGATGATATTGAGTTAATTTTTATACAGGAAGAAATTTAGATGAAAGTTTACCTATGAACAGCCAATGAATCAAGAATACTTTTAAAAGAATATCAACAGCTACGGACTCTAAGTTGGATGGGAACAGTAGTGAAGATGGGAACAGGCTTAGAGAATATTCTTTTTAAGTGGGAGGTTCCATCCACAAAGGAAAATCAGCCTAACTACAAAGCAAGTCAGCTGATGACCTGGGAGAAGGTAGTGGTTGGAGGTTTCAGAAAGGAAATGTCACTGGTGATGTAAACAAAGGGGCAAGAGTGGCCAAGAAGGTGAGAGGTGAGATGGAGTAAGTGGGGAAGATTTTAAGGAAGTGGTGTGGAGGGGTCACCTGTGGAGTTGAGGCTGCAGAATGATGCAGGAGTTGGGTAAGGGAAGTATATGCCTGGGGCTTAGTGTTCTTCAAGGGAGCAGGAGAGAGCAGAGAGCAAGAAAACAACAGGACCAGCATGGGAGGAAAGGAGGAGAAATGCTTTGTCCCCAACCGTGCAGAGCCAGGAGGATGCCTTTTCTACTTCTCAGCCTTATGGTAGAAGAGGCATCAGGAAGGGAAAAATGAATGAAATGAAACAAAACACACAACTGCTCAACCCTTGAAGAGGCAGTGGGGGAAGAAATGTCCTTAGAAAACTTCTGGGATGTTGTTGATGCAAACAGGAAGAGAGAATGTTTGAGGAATGTTGCATCAGCTGACCCAAGCAAAAAGGGCTGAGAGGAAGCTGTGTATCAGAAACTCAGAGAGATGGGCGACAGGGAGAAGGCTTTGACTTCAATGGTGGAGCAGGGCTGAAGTGACAGAGATGGGTTTGGACACTGTGTAATTCTGAGGGACACAAAATCAAGGGAAAGTTTTTAACTGATCCGAGAAGAGAGTGAGCAAACATTCAGGGCACTAGAGGAGATAATTATGAGAAAAACACAAAATTATGCCTGAAAAAGCTGGAGATTACTAGTTTTAATTCAGTGGACAAAGATTTTACAGAGCGAGTGAATATGTGTCTACGTTCATTTTCTAGTACTTCTCTCATATTTAGAAGGTTGGAAGGGCCAAGAGCATGAGACTGGGATAGGGTGAGGGACTTCCTGCCACGTCCTAACATGGCAGGGGGTTTGTATGGCAGGAGAGATCAGACCTGCTGATGCAGGACACTTCCTCTTCTTACAAAGACACTAACACCCTCTAGGGGACCCCCTCATGCTCTCATCTAACTCTTAACTATCTCCAAAAGGGCCCACTTCCAAATATCATTAATACATGAATTCAGGATTTAAATTTCCAACACATGAACTTTAGAGGACACATTCAAAGCACAACAATATGTTTGATCCTATTAGCTCAAAATTACTTATGATTCTATCTACCTGAACCATAGTATCCTAAAATATCCATTTCCCTATATACTGCATTCCACAGTTAGTAGGAGATAAATATAGGAACATACACACACAAGTTATCCAAGAAAACTCAGTTCAGCAATTACAAAACAAAATGCAGTCAGACATCTTCTGTACTGTGTTTTAAGGCTCTGGTTCAGTTTAGTTCATTATCTCACTAGTTCCTGCCTCTTTCTCTTTTGGTCTACTTCCATTTTTCATCATGTTTTGACAGGTGAGGTTGCTCATGAAAAAGGATCGAACAAAAATACAAGAATGCCACCTTTGCCTCCTCATCCAGGACAGAGAAACCCTCCCTTTCCTTCTTACAACAAAGCAGGCAAAACACACCCTCCTACCACCCTTCAACAGAGCCAAATGACGGATGTCGGTGGAGCAATTGTTTTGCTTACAGGGAGGGACTCTGAGTGCGGTCAGTAGGTCACCTGCCCTCCCTGCCCGGGATCAGCTCCCCACTGCCCAAACCCCCAGGAACTTCCATCCGAGAGTACTTCAGGCTGCAGCCAGCACAAACATGTCACAGCAAGAAGGACAGTGATAGTATTTGCACACACAATTAGGTGAAGCACAAGTTTTATTTGATCCTTATTTTTTGAGATGAAAAAAAGTTTTATTATTACATTATAACCAAAGGAATTTAGCCTTTAACCTACAGTTTCCCTGCTCTCGGTAATATAAAACCTTCATTTCCAAAAAGAAGGGAAGGCTCTACGGAATTTTCTTCTCCACCTTCATTCCTAGGGGTGAGGTGATTGACTAATGCCACCTTTGGAAACAGGTTTATACCAACTACAATA